CTTTTGAAACCAAAGCTTCTTTAAAATATACACTGAAAGTATACTGAAATTATCTGATTATTGAAAATATATTTGAATACAGCTTCCCAAAGAATTCAGTATAGCACATTTTATTTAGAAACATTCAAAGTCACAGAATAGTGAAAAAAATATGATTCTACTCATTACATGATTATTTATTCTTGATAACATACTGTGAACTTCATTGTGCAGTGAACATTACAATTAAGTATATTAAACACAGAACAGCCATAAATGTACTCACTAAGTAATAATGGTAATACTATCAGCTTACTGGTATCCATTTTTGTCAAGTGATAATTTTATTGGAGAGCAATATTGAGATGCAAACATTTATTGTCCTTTTATAGACAATTGTTCCAATAATTATTTAGTGAGTACTGGCAACATAGAGAGAAAATTATGTACCTCAGATGCTGTCCTGCCTGTGGCTGTAATGAAGTCTCTGTAGTAATCTAATTGTAATGACTAAGCAAAAAAATGGAATTCTAATTGACAACAATAAACCAAGCAAATTGTCAGTAAAGACGTACTGACTTAAGCCTTGTTGACAAAGGCTTGTTGGTGTCAAAACTGTTCTTTTTTGGCCAAGGAAAAAACCCAGGTTCTTCCAAATTATTCAAATTGCACAAATTATGTAATCAATTGACTTTATACACAGCTTGACAGTGAAGTTCCTTACATGTTCTTTACTTCACATTTTCAGGGGTGCAAAGGGGTTAAGAAACATAATCTTGGGGTTTGGAGTACAGTTGCACTTCCATTTCTGGAAGTGGTCAGGGCAAAAATCCATGGCTGAACCAAAAAAGGATCAAACTCTCAGTTTAGAATCTTGATGTCACTTGAATTTGGCACTTCTTCCTGGCAGAAATGGATCTCCCTTCCTGCCATCTTCATATTTACTTTTGTAATATGAATATGAGCTTTGTGTTGATTTCATCCCAGCTTTGAATTTTAGAGTGAAGGTTGGGGTGTGAAGTACTATTTGTGTATTTGCTGCCTAAGAAATGTTATGGTTCCTATACCGCTTCCTGCTCTGTGTGATATATTTTTCACTACATATGTTAAACTATCAGCTAAAGTCTATGCAGAAAACAGTAAAGTAGTATTTTGACTCTAAGCTTAATTAATGCCACACACTGTGTAGAGTAAAGCAAAATGTATGACCCGCTATAGTGTCATACAAAAAAAGAAATGTTGACAGCAGGAGCTGCTGGCCAGAGGCTGTGTTACTGTCAGCATGAGTGGAGATCACCAGCTGGTTCTGCTAAATCATCCGTATGATGTCTGGAGCTATAGCCAGTTACAGTTGTGAATGCTCCATGCCTGGCAGTGTTCAAGGCCAGGTTGGATGAAGCCTTGGGTGACATGATTTAGTGTGAGGCGTCCCTGCCTATGGCAGGGGGGTTGGAACTGGATGATCTTAAGGTCCTTTCCAACCCTAACTATTCTATGATTCTATGATTCTATAAGCCGATTGCTTTTTGATTTTTTTTTTCTTTAAATGCTAATGTGAATATTTTTCCCTGCTAGTTATGTTTTTTTTCTTCTATCTCCTCACCTCTACAGCTCATCTGATTGCTATGTTCCTTACAAAGCCAAATCATTGTTGGGTCTACATGCTGTCATACTATAGTTTTGTGTTTTAAAGTTCCCTTGTGTTTTAAATTCTGCTTATGGATTAAGAAAATAATGCATGGAGAATCAGTCAATGAAAATGTATAGAAGTGGTGTCATGTGCTGGGCTACAAGCATAATACCCAAGGGAACAAAAATAATTGCTTTTTGGCTTATCTGTTTAATGATGTGAGTAATAAACAGTTTCAGATTTGTATTTGTTGAATTAGATGTTGATTTCATAGTTTTTTTGAGTAAAGCTAAGTATTCTTTGTGATAATACCCGGTCAGACTTGAAAATTGCTTCAAGCCTTAAATAAATAGCTTCCATTTGTAATTAAACAATTAAGAAATCATTCCCAGAGGTATGTTTCTACCACCATTAAGGTTATTTTCTTACTTAAGTCTTGCTATACCTATGCCGGTAATTACTTTTTAATAAGAAATATCATAAAAAGATTAAAGTCTTAAAATAATTGTCATAGAAAGAATGCTTTTTTTTTTTTATTTCATCTATGAAAGTATCAAATAATTGTGCTAAACTTCAACACATCAAATGTCCTAAGAAATGTTGGATGTTCTTAAAAAAAATAAAAAAAAAATAAATAAAAATTCTTCTGTCGTCCCAAAGTATGAGTGAATGTCTCATGGCATCCGTCTCCATTTTATTGGGAGTTTATTCAAATGGATAGATTCCAATGAATCAACATTCTTGTAATAAAAGCACTCTTTATTGAAAATTTCAAACAACTTTTAATCATTTTATTGACATTTTAAACATAGTACGTTTTTTTCTGTTCTTCACTCTCGGGAATGCAAGCTGTATTAAACACTTGAAGATCTATAACTGAGTAATATTTTTCTAAAAGGTAGGAGTATGAAAGCTTGGTTAATAGCAGGGACTGTCAACTGAAGTGTATTAACTGAAGCTAGCAGAAAATCTGGGCAAGATTAGGGAGCACTGAGGGTCTCTAAGCAATCTGAGTCACAGGATTTGCTGCAGGGATTGTGGAACCCTTGAGACCTTCAACTTGAGCTTCCCAGAAAGCGAAAAAGAAATTGGGAGAGAACATGAACTAGAAAAAGTAACTTTTGACCAGCTCTCATTGTAATTCCTCCAAACTTGTATTGCCTCTCAAACAGGGAAAAAAAAAAAAAGAAACCTGAAAGTAATGTAAAATGGAAGAGAGTGGAATGAGACTGAAGTGGTTCAGTTCTTCAGTTTTTCTCTAGTTTGCTCCTCCACAGGATGCAGGGTGGCGGTCTGCTCCTGTAGACCTCCATGGGCTGTAGGAGAATATCACCAAGCCTCAGTCAATTGAACAGTATACACTGAGAGAACTGAGTGATGCCTGACTGTGGTGATGGAATAAAATTTCATTGTATTTAATGACTGTGTTGCAAAGGATATGTTTCATGGGGCCACATTTATTATTTCAGGGACAGTGCTACTTTTAGCATTCTCACTATCTGGAAGCTGACTTTTCAACGGTTTCTAATAGTGATAATTCTTTCATAAGTAGTAGCTAAACTAAGGTCACAAGTTAATGGAAATGGTGTAAAAAATACTAATTACTTTAAATCTCAAAATGTGATCATGCATTGCATTTTGATTATAATGACTGGTTAAATAAATGTGTAGAAACTCATTATAAGGAGGAAGATGATTAACCCTTTCAGGCATTCATTTTCTTAATTCATAAGACATTCAGACACAGCTAGGATGAATACTGCCATGATGTGATGAGGGTTTGATTAAAGCCTTCTGATGCTTTGCTCTTGGAGGACTGAGAAAAGTCACAGAGGGAAGTTTGTAAAGGTTTAGTATGTAAATAAATTGTTAAACATTACAGTTAATTGAAATTACGGGAAAAGAGAAGCAGTTCTGCTTGAAAAGTATAAAAATGACAAAATGCCTGTTCGCTACCTTATTTAAAACCTGCTTTATAAAATAATTATTTCTGTTTTACTTATTTCAGTGATATATGTATTCTTGTAATATGAATGTATATTCTATGACTTGCTGCTGTCATTATAGTGGGTTCATTTGTGCTATTACTATCTCATTCATTAACAATTGCATGGTAAAAAAAACTGAACAGTTTTGGTTCGGATAAATATCTAACAATATGGATGGTTTACATAAGCATTATTGAGCTTTAAATTATAAAAATCTTATAAAATCACCATTTATATGATCCTTCAAATGGATTTAATAAGATTTTTATTTCTAATTCAATCAACTGAACTATTATGTATTTTTAACTGCCTTTTAGTGAAAACAAAAGCAGTTTTTAAGCATAAACCTGATCACCCTGGTTTTATAAGTTTATTGTTTGGTTGGTTGTTTTTTTTTGTTATTTCTGTGTTTGTGTTATTTTTCCTTCTTTTGAACACAAGGCCAATCTTTTTGATGGGCACGTTTCAGGAAGAAGTTTTACATAAAAAGAAAGAGGTTTCTTTAATTTCTTTTTAAGTCATGGAGAAAACTTAATGCTTTCTGGTCTAAAGGCAATGTCACAGACAAATATGAAAATAAAGAGCTCTAAAAGAAAGTTAAGTATGTAAAAAATGTCAAATGGTTTTGTATTAAGCACAATGAGTTTTTGTTCTATAGAAGAATTAAGAATTAATGGTAACTTCTTTAAGCTGTTTGCAGTTACTTCTTGCTTGTTTGCTAGAACTTAAACTGGTTCAGGAAAACAATGGATGTTGGTAGTATCCATATCTCATAAAGGCCAAAATTAAAGCTTTGAAGGGTTTTTATGTTTCTTACTATGTCAAATATAGTATATACAGCGGCATACTTCTGTGTAAAACATGGCTGTATGTATAATGGCATAAATTATTAATTTACTAAGCATAATGAAAGAGTGGTAATTTCATCTGTTACAGAGGTATTTTAGAAAGAATAGAGTTTTATTTTTAAACAAGAGTGCACTGGTTTTGGCTGTAAGCTGCTATGAAAGAAAATTACTTTTATCTCAGCAGAAAAAAGTTACATGACTTTTTTTTTTCAAAACTGAATTTTCCTACATGACCTTGTAAATGACAATAAAGCAGTCTTCAGAAATAAAATGAGGTACAGACTTTAATATTTTTTTATAGTTTATTCCTGATAAGTTTAAAATGCAAATCCAATTTGAAACATCAAACCAAAAGTTTAAATTAATAAAACCCACCAAATTCTTACTAAATATGTAGGCAAAATAACATTGATGGGTCTTATGCTGAATGAATATATCTGTTTTGCGCCCATGGAAACTGATTTTCTCTACTTTGTCAGATAATTGTCATGTAATAAAATCCATGAAAAACAGACCTCTCATTTGCTTACTTATACATCCATCTTTCTTTTCCAGATGACACGAGAGCAGTATATATTAGCAACACAACAGAACAGCCTTCCAAGGACTGAGCATCCTCAGTTTTACCCAGTTGGGATTTATGGATGGCGAAAGAGGTGCTTATACTTCTTTGTCCTTCTGCTGTTGGTTACCATGATTGTTAACTTAGCAATGACAATATGGATTTTGAAGGTTATGAATTTCACAGTGGTAAGTATCATAGTAACTATGTTTCTTGAAGTAATAAGTTGTAGTTTAGTTCTCTTTGCCAGTTTATACACAAATCTTGTAATTTTGGATTAAAAGTCATATATGCTTCTTTGAGGGTTACTTCAGTCATTTGTAGGTTTTCTGTATATTCTGCAGTGCGTAGACCTGTGCCATATCAATTCAGATGGTTTTGCTTAATCATATGTGCTTATGGATCTTATATTTGGATCTTTAATTTTTTAGTTTGCTCAACCAGAAACGTGGTGACTGCCCCAGGCACATTTTGGTTGCTTGTCACCACTGAAAGAAATCAGTAGGAGGTTACTGTGTGTGTTCCGCATGTATAGTATCTCTCTTAGGAGGAAAATTGGTTATTTAGGTCAACTTATGGTGGTTTTTTTCAGTTTATGTTGTTCTTGGTATTTTTTTAGAGTTTACATTTATACTGTGTTTCACCTAGAAATTAGAGTGGCTGTTTTGATGTTGGTAAGAGGCAGGCATGAGAGCCATGGGGTTTTATAAGATAGCCTCTATCTGGAATCTTTAATAGCAGCAGATACCAAGACTGTATTTCAGATGTACACCTGAACATCTGTGTTCAGTGGGATCTGTGTTATCTCCTCAGCTTTGTTCCCAAAGCTTTGTTTGGATAAGGGTGATGGAAGTGCTCACTAGTTGGCAGTGGAGTAGCATCTTTTTGTATACAAAATCACAGTATCACAGTACCACAGTATCACAGTATGCTAGAGATTGGAAGGGACCTCGAAAGATCATCTAGTCCAATCCCCCTGCCGGAGAAGGAACACCTAGATAATGTTACACAGGAATGTGTCCAGGCAGGTTTTGAATGCCTCCAGGGAAGGAGACTCCACAACCTCCCTGGGCAGCCTGTTCCAGTGTTCCGTCACCCTCACTGAGAAGAAGTTTCTTCTCAAGTTTGAGTGGAGCCTCTTGTGCTCCAGTTTGTACCCATTACCCCTTGTCCTATCATTGTTTGCCACTGAAATGGCAATGAAAAGATAGAACACTCCACAGTTTGAAATAGCAGTGCTTCTGCTAGGATCTTAGTCTGTGTATGGCTTTTCCATTCATAAGCCACATTTTTATGTAGCTGGTAATACATTTTGAATTTCAAGGGTCATAGCACATTTCTATTCTCCATTATTTTACTGGAAAGAAAAAATACCAAACAAGACCAGCATTAAACATACGTCTAAAATTGTTCTATATTTGCTAATGCTCTGTAATGCATAACTTTATCTGAGACCATTGGCTGATGAGATGTACTGTGCAAATACATTACTATTTCTGATTTGCCAGTAGTGGTTAAATATTTTGGATTCATATTTTGACAACTGCATGACATTAATATTACTGTACTGAAGTTTGTTAGAAGTGGCGGGGGGGTTGCTGCTTCTTTGTTTGCAAAACAGGACATGCACATGTGCTTTTGCTGTTTGTATGGAAGCATATTTAGGCAACCTGTTTACATCAGTAAAGTGGTCTACTATTTTATCCAGAGGAGAATTAAGCATGGAAATTTAAATAGGTTAAGAAAATGTTAAAAAGCACAGGATTTTTCTCTGAGCAGAAGATTACATTTCAGTGAAATACTGAAAATGCTGCTTCTGTATCTAGGCAATGTTTGACCTTTCACACTAAAAGTTACTGTAGCACTGTCCAGTTTAAAACTCATACAGTTTGAACATACAGACTTTTTAAAACAAAACCAAAAAAGATATTTTAAATGTTTTTCTTTGCTGCCTGTCAAAGCTTTCTTAGAAAGTGTTACAGTGAATCACTAAATTGGTGTAGGTATCTAGTTCAGGAAACAACCAGATTGTTTCAGCAGTTCTGTGTACTACTGGGTTAGTAGATTGAAAACTGTGCTTCACTAGTTAGAGGTGCATATCTGAAATAATTATGTGAACATTGGCTTAATAATTTCACAAAAATAGTGTTTGAAATGTTATGCACTTAATTTATGAACTCATTATTTAATTTTTACAGTTCAGAAATCACAAAGCTTGTGTACACCTTTTATAAACCTGAATTTGTTATAAATACAAAAAAAAAACGGAATGCCACTGGTTAGTGTAAGTTAATCATTAACGCTCCTGTGTCAGAATTAATTTTAATTTTGCATTTTCACTTTTGCCATGGCCATAAAAGTGAAACATATCACTCCTCTTTCATATGAATATCTCCACCCCTACTCACCCGGTGTTGCACATGCTTGGGAACTTTGCATCCTGTCCAAATCCATTTTGTTGATCATACACAGGAGGACACCAGTTTTCTTCTGTAGATTGATTGAATGGTAGTCTTCTACCTGGACTAGTTAGTATTCACATTAGAGTCTCTGTATGGATTCAAAAATTGATTGCTTGAAGATTGTCATGTAAAAAGTTCAGTAATTTTCATGCTTATGTCCACACATGCCCATTTGAGCACCAGTGGGAAATTTGTATCAGGTCTGAAGGGGTAACATTCTTAGCAACAGACATCTGAGTGTAAAATAATTTAGTTTAAGAACCTAAGCTTCATGTGTTTAAAGAATGCAATAGCTTTGAAATATACATAGATTTTTACCATGCATGTATATATATATAGATAGATAGAAACTAAGAAAGAGTATTTGTATATCTGGGCAGTGATAGGAACTCAGAAGTGGAGCTAGAAAGCTTTTGGAAAGGAAAATACGTTTGTCAAACAGGTTTAAAGAATATTTTCTCAAAAGAAAAATGCATCTATGATAAAATAATTGTTGAAATTGAACTGCTTTGACATTTTGACATGATTTTAAATTATTTGCTGGTTTAGCATAAACCAGTGCTGCCTTTCATAAATATGATAGTAATTGCACCACTTCAAGGGGTTGTGAAGTACCAGGCCATGGGTTTGTCATTGCTGGCTGACAGTTGTAACAGTGTTAATTTATATTAGCTGTTGCCGTTCTATTTTTAACTGTACAGCTGCAGCCACTGCCCATTTGCCACAATAAAAGCCTTTCTGAATTAAATTTATAGATTCTCTAGTTGGAAAGGTTTTCTGAATATACTGACCTTGCATGTAAAAGTCCTGTTCTGAATTTAAGCAATTATCCCATGCTCTTTTTATACATAGAGAGGAGAAATAGGGTCTTCTGTAAGGCCATTCATCAGGCAACTGAAGTGAATTGTCCTTAAGGATTGATGTGGAATATCAAAGAAGTAATTGAAAAGGAAGTAAGGGTTATTTAATGTTGTATAAAACCAGTACAGTCAAGTTGTGCAAAACTCCTTTTAACAGATTAAATAGTATATCTGGTAAAGGCAGAGAAACTTTCAGGTATGTACAATCTCTTCTCCAGTTACAATGTAAGAAAAAAACTGAAAGGTAAATACAAGTTACAAATAATTGTCCTGATATTATATGTATCAAATGAGCAAGCCCAAAGGTAATTAGTATCTGTGTAGCAGAAGGAATATTAGATGGAGGAATCAGAGATGTTATAACAATTTTTAAAAAGATATTCCTCCACTAGTAGATTAGTGCTTCTGTCCGTTAATATCTATTTAAGATCTCTTACCTCACTGTTTGATCATCTCTTTAAAGTTACATGTGAAAGCATGTAAGAATCTCAGGACAACGAAGTCCCTAAACATTAATATGAACAGAAACATGTAACATACCGGACTATTCTGGGTTTACGTGGAAAGTAATGGTTTGTGAGCAGGCTATATTGGAGGGAGATCTGACCTTGAACAAAATGTTTTGCCAATAACATAGCCCTGAAATAATCCCTGCACTAAATCTCTCATTGAAATAAAATTTTCTGTTCTTTTTTATGTGGACCGAATGGATCCACTCTGTCCTGAGTGGTAAGGAAAAAATAATTTGACAGCCTCTATAACATATTGTCCCCTAATGGAACCATCAAAATCTCTGAATCACGTGCTTGAATTTCAGATGTCATCTACTGTACTAAATGCTTTCCTGAAAAGTAAACAACTGCTGTCTTCGAGAATGAACTCAACTTTCCTTATCTCTTAAGCCTGATCTTTTGAGACACGTAGAACATCTAGGAAAAAATCAAGCCAGGAACTAAAATCTGTATATTTTGTCAATGTTAAAAAAACAGAGTTGGAAGACTTGAGTTTTACGGAACATTTATAATTTCCTTTCCTTCTATTAAGTTTGCCATGGTGCACAGGCTTCCCCATGGAGACGTCTGTCTTTCATTCCCCTCAGGATGTAATTGCCTCTCACTTAGTCTAGGTTATATATGGCTTATGAAGGTCAAAGCTGTTAGCTGCTTTTTTTGTGTCTGTACAATTAGTATACTAGGTGTTTCAAGGGTGGGATACTCAAGTAGTAACTTGGTGACATAACCACAAGTTGGTTATGGATATGTTTTGTATTTAAAACATCCTGGTTATTTCACTTATGTAATATATATGAGTTTCAAAGGAAATCAGGGAAAAAATGTTTTTACTGTGCATGCATTCTTCTCGTCATTTATTTGTCCAGTCCAGTTCATAGGTAATTAGCTTACATTTTCTTTAAAGATTTAATTACTTGAACATTATTCTCTGAAATATTTTTAATCCTGTATTGTCTTTAACTTATTCTAACCCCATTAGAACTATAATTTTATACAATTATTTTTGATATAGCTACCAACAGCTTAAGTATATTGATAGGCTATCTGCTTGCTTACTCTATAAAAGAGATTTATTTTACATTTTTTGTCAATAAACTAATACCAGTGTAAAAATCCACAATTGAAAATTTTCCACAAGTGTTTCAAATTACAGTTTTATAAAAAGAAATTAAAAGTTTTCCTCTTGCTGCTGTGAAGTGACATTGTGAAGCAAGATGGAGCAATCAGCATAGAAACCTAAGTTTCTAAGCGCATTTATATGTTTTCTAATATGTACGTAATTTACATTGATACTGCATTTGCTTGATATTACCTTATTCTATTCAATGCATCACATTGAAGTTTGGAGTTTACT